CCAGAGCCACTTCATACACTCCAGTGCCTGAACCAACAGCAGTTGCTCAACCGAATTTGCAATGGCAGCTTTTCCAGCCCAAAGCCTCCTTCTACGCGAGATCACCACGGCGTCTGAAGGCCCGCAGACGACTCAATCCGAGCCTTGCACAGAAACTCTGCCGAGAACTGTACGGGCCCCGGAAAACGCTTTCAGACATCAACTTTAGTGGTATCCTGGGTGCCGACTTCCAATTCGGTTCTCCACAGTCAGAAGGGGAAGTGGCACAACGACTGGTTCATGAAGAATCCCCGGAACCAACAGCAGATGAATTGGCTGACCCGCTCCCAGTTCCGTCATCCTCGTCCGGTGTTGGCAACGATCAGGAACTTGCCTGTCCCTGCTCCGCCTTCGCCGAGCCGACCTCAATGTTCGGGGAATTTTTCCACTGCCATCAACACAACCCGATTGCGGAAACCATATTCGGCCCCAGACAATCAACTACTGACGGTGAGCAGGTCAAGGCTGGGAAAAGAAAATCCGAGGCCAGAGTCACCGGTGAGTCTTAGAACATATTTTTGGTATTAATTTGTTGTATCTCAAACATCCCATAATCTGCCCCTCAGCAGTGACATTTAATATTCCATGTAGAAATCTCGATCATCGGCGAAGTACTTACGCAAAGTTTAAGCGGGGCCACTGTCAATCAATTAGACGTTGTGTCCTATTACAGAAACCATAATTAACTCACTTTTCATGTCTAAATTATTGATCGTAAGAATGAGACTGGCAGTGCGAAACAGCTAATCGAATAATGCTAAACACCTGTTTGGCGGTGGTTGCAAGATCTGTACTGGAAAATTGAGTAGATTTCGTAGTAAGTGAAATCGGTCCCGGAATTTGCGCGTATGTGATTACTGTGTATGTGGTTTTGGTAGGTTGAAATAAGAAGACTTGCTGTTTTTAAGATTTGGAGCTAGCATACGCTTGCATACTTACAGGCTAAATATCTTCATATTCTATTCGTTGTTCTGCTTTTATTGAAGAGTTGTCACACCACTGGCTTGTAGTTGGCAGAGTTCTTATTAACTTTTATCCTACCGACGGCATTTACCTTCTGGCCCATAATGTCCAGCAAAAACCAGGGAAACTCGGAAACGCCAAACAGTAAGGGTGTCTTACATGGCTCCCTAGCCAAGACACAATACCATATGCCCTTGCGCCAAGTTCCAGGAAAAATATGATTATGGTTACCTTTGTGGTTAGAGTCGATATTAGCATTAAAGTAAGTTAAGGCTACTTTTAGGCTTTAGCTTAGGGTTAGTGGTAACTGTAGGACTGCGGTTTAGAGTAGAGTTAGGGTTAGGATGAATGCTACGGATAAGGCTTGTGTTAGTTTTATTGTTATCGTAATCTCCGGTCATCTTGACTTTGTCTTGACACTGGGTACAAGTGAGGGAGTGAGGTGGATTCTGTACGAGTCTACTTTCATTAAAATCCAGCGCAGATCACCGCGTTTGTCTTCAGCTTGCTGAAGGTCATGGTGGACATCGTCGAAATCGACCGTTGAACTGTCCTTAGGGCTAGGACAGAGGAAGAATTAATCTTCTTGGAACTATGCACAGGACCACCTTTATCAATTGGGCGGGACGTTCCTATTCTAGTGTCCTGTTTGGGGGGCCCTGTTAGTAATTCTTTCACAGAAAATGTGTGCTTCATTACCAATTGCCACCATTTTGTTTTCAAAATCCAAATAACCCTATATTTCTACCTTTTCCGTTCTACGAGTGATCTGGAGGATAAGTATAAGGGAGCAGGTATAAGTCAGTATTACCGTTTTCTCGATTGTCGACATCTGCTTAGCTGACGGCAACTCTTGCTGAAAGATCTAATTAACGGGCGCCAGTTAACCTTGTTTTGACCCCATATCCAAATTAAAATAATAATTTTATTTTAATCTGTTATTTTTTGCCTATTTTAGACTTCTTCGTCGTTAACCGCTACCCAAAGGTCGCGAAAAAATGACAGCCCTCTCAAATTGGTGAGTGTTTTATCTTGTCCCCTCACTCCAGTCACGTGCTATTTTGTCGCTTAAACTCTGCGTCATACCCGGCGTTTTCAGTTTACTGGCCGCGCCTTTGTTCGACAGTAGGAGACGCGCCGGTAAGGCACACACGCACGCAGGGGGTGCGAACGCACT